TGCTGCTGCTATGCCAGAAGGATTGTGCTTATGATAACAAACTGTTAGATTTGATTGTTAGAATACTTATGCAATGTTAGTAATAAAGGGTGTTTAAAATCATATCTCATTTGTTCTTGGGCAATCGTATGGTATTTCTTATAACATTTTTCCTGGGGCATTGCAAGGGACAAGCCTAATTAAAGAACTGATATCTGTCTGGCTCAGCTTTAATGGCCCTGTATATGCAGGGAAAAGGAGCAGCCACGTCTTTATTTCCCTGCTTGCATGGGTTGAGGCAATGTGTCAAGTGATGTAGTCATGTCCTCACACCTTCTGGCTCCTCCATTTTGGCTGGGTTTACCTCCACACACCTCTCGAAACTGAAGAGTAAACACAGCTGTAACAGCATTGTAGGTAATGCCCAAGGTGAGTGCAGAGAAAATTGAGAACAGAATGAATGCCTTGTAGTGGATCCTAAATATAGCTATGTTCAAGTTGATGGGGAGAATGCAGTGGCTGAGACAAGACAACAGTGTGTTGTCCTGTGTAGTGCTGGGCTTCAGGGAGCTGGGAAGGGCTTTTGGCCTTGCTTACTGCTTGGCACAATGGCTGTTGAGCACCAAGAGAATGGGTAAATGTGACACATATCTCTTCTTTACCATTTCTTCCATTTCAAATAAGGCCCCAGTAGCATGGTGATCATGGAACGTAAAATTTTTCTACAGTTTATTGAAGGAAAAAACTATTCCCCACTGCTCAAATACAGGACTACAGGGTCTTATGCCACCTTGTTAGTGTGAGCAGTTGTGTGTTTTGGGGATCAGACATAGGGAATTCAGTCTTGTTTTATGAAACACTGGTCAGTGGGATTTAAAATCATAGAATCATTTGAGTTGGAAGGGACCTTTAAAGGCCGTCTAGTCCAACTCTCCTGCAGTGAACAGGGACATCTGCAGCTACATCAGGTTGCTCAGAGCCTGGTTCAATCTGATCTTGAATGTCTCCAGGGACAGTGTATCCACACTTGTCTGTGCAACCCATTCCAGTGCCTCAATACCTTTATTGTAAAAATAACTTTTTCCTTATTACCAATTTGAATCTCTTCTCATTTTAGTTTGAAACCGTTTCTCTTTGTCCTATCACAATGGACCCTGCTAAGGATTCTGTCCCCCTCCTTCTTGCAGTCCCCTGCTAGCAAAAGAAAGGCTGGTATCAGGTCTCCAGAATCTTCTCTTCTCCAGGCTGAACAGCCCCAGCTCTCTCAGCCTCTCCTCATAGGAGAGGTGTTCCATCCCTTGGATCATTTTTGTGACTCTCCTCTGGATGTGCTCCAACAAGTCCATGCCCCTCCTGTATTGAAGATTCTGCATTTGGATCTAGTACTCCAAGTAAGGTCTCATCAGCGCAGAGTAGAGGGGCAGGATCACCTCCATCATTCTGCTGGCCACGCTTGTTTGGATGCAGCCGAAGACACAGTTGTTGAATGTGCATGTACAGCTCAGGGATGTGCAAGCTGTGATTTTCTCAGCCATCCAGACTCCACCTCAGCAGGTGTAGCTGAGGGAACTGCATGGACAGAGGAGGTGGACCAGGCTGGGATCAGACAGCATGTACGTGCTTCACTCATGGATTTAACCCAGGAGAAGTACACTAAAAAACATGTTGGTGCAGCTGCTGTAGGATGCTTCTGATTTCAGATCGCCCCTCCTTGTCTGTGGTCTGAAGTAATACAGAGTGAATGCATCCTACAGGCACAAGTGGCAGAGAGGAGAGCTGCGTTGTGCAGTACTTAAACTGCCAGGGCTAATTGCGGCAGTAATCCAGGCAGCAATCTGCATGTTCAAATGTATTTTGATCATTATGCTTGTGTTAACACAAGCAGACCAGATCCAAAATCCAAACATGCCGCAGTCAGACCCAGAGAACTAACCAGAGGGAAATGAGCTCATTTAACCCTGGCTGCCCCTACAGCAGGTGACTGCTTCCTCCCTCTGCTCGCTGCTTTGCAGACAGCATATGTAAGCCAAAGTGCAACCAAAATTCCTTTTGAACACAAGCAGGCTGAAAGTTCAGAAGCAGCAGTGAAATGCAGACTTGCTGTTGATGGCAGGTTGAAGGAACACGAATAAAAGCAACCCATTGTTTGGGTGGACAGAGCTTGTCTGCACTGTGGGTTGCGCTGTTACAACATGACCTTGAGAACCTGTGTTAATTAACACAATTTTATTTTAAGCAGTGTCAGCTGCTTCCAAGTAAACCTGCTGATCAGACTGACAAATGCTTTATTCTTGGTCTTATAAGAATTTGGGCCTAGGTAGACAGTTATAATCAGTAGCTGGATTTTTAAAACCCTGTATCTCAAAACCTTTTGTAAGTTATGAAGCGTTTTAATGGACCAACAAGATGAATTCATTTTGTAATCATCTGTTCTTACGTATGTGTGAAGAAATAAGTCTGGAACTGGATAATTTTCTGTCCACCTCCAAAGATTCCCAACTTAGTTCCAGACAACTCAGTCTCTTATGCATGTTTTATTTTAGCCTTACGGAATTAGATGAGTTTAATCAGGTACATGCACACTCATAGAATTAGTCTTTGCCTCGGATACCACTTGTACACGGAGGCTATGGCATCCTGAAATACAAATCTCTGTGTGCAAGGATAATCATTTATGGTGCCCTCAAATGTCATCCTGGGTTCAGAGTGCTGGTTTCATTAAAATGACTTGGAACGTGACGATGTCCCTGGGTGCTCATGATTAACTTGAGTCTACGGCTTGCCTTGCAGGTGGGGAACTTCAGGCAGTGCTTTTATGGGATGGTCATCTGTCTGAGACAGAGGCTGTTACCAATCTTGATGGTGAGAATGAATATTTTAATAGCTATATTAAAATTAAAGGGTGAGATATTAATTGTATTATTCCATACTTCTTCCCAGAGGCATCAGCTGCAGTGTGGCATAATTTAATAAGGCTATCCATCATGTGATGAATTGGTGTGAAAACGTTACTGGTCAGTACTGTAAGAAAGAGCTCTGTAGCTTTTGTTTCATCAGGAAGGGTGCACACAACAGAAGTGCTGTTTGACAAATGTTTGTGTGTTGTCCTGAAAATAAAGTACTGGTAGGCCTCTTTTTTGACTAGGAATTGCATGTCAAAGTGGCTGGTCGGTGCTAAACAACCTGAACAGCTTAGAATCAAAAACCTTGTGCTCCATGATCTTTGCACTGAGCTGAAGCAGAGGCCACTGTGCTCTGAGTGTCTGCACTCATCAAGAGCTTCCAGGTGAAAACGTGGAACTGCTGGAGCTCTAGGGGGTTACTAATGAACACTGGGGAAAGCAGGTTTTAAGGAAGGCTGCCAAAGGTTCCCCCGGGTCCTAACAACTTGGTATAGTTCTAGTTTGTCAGCAGTTCACTGAAAGGTCACTTTATAGGTGGTCCTGTGTAGGTTGAACCACTTCAGTCCAACTGACTGAAGTCTAAGTGCTCTTTGGAGAAGACTTCATGCAAGAGTTCCTAAGCCCCTTCTAAGTGAGACACAGGAAGATCCCCTTCTAAGTGAGACACAGGAAGATCCTTCCCTTTCAACTATTTTAACTGATGTGAAGGGACAGCCTGTGTTGTCCTGAGAACTCAAACTGATGACCTGAAATCAGGAGTGGTGTTACAGAACAAGAAATGGACAGGTGTGAAAGGTTTGCTTTCACAAGGTGCTCAGAATTCAGTCAGCAACTAGACATGTGCATCAATGTGCAAATCACAGAACCATGGAACATCCCAACTGGGAAGGGCCCCCAAAGATCATTGATTACAAATCCTGCCTCCACACAAGATCACCATTAATACAAATCCTATGTCTGAGAATGTTGTCCAAACTTACCTCGAGCTCCAGCAGCTTGTGGCCAGGACCACTGCCCTGGGCAGCCTGTTCCACACCGACCACCCTCTGGTGAAAAACCTTTTCCTGATATCCAACCTGCCCCTCCCCTGACACAGCTCCATGCCTTTCCTTTGGGCCCTGTCGCTGTCACAGAAAGCAGAGCTCAGCGCTGCCTCTCTGCTCCCCTTTAGGAGCTACAGCCACCATGAGGCCTCCCCTCAGCTCCTCTGCTCTGGGCTGAGGGACCTCAGCCACTCCTCACACATACTGCCCTTCAGGTCCTCCTTTGGATGCTTTCCTTGTCCTCTCTTCAGCCCAAACTTGCACCCAGTGCTCAAAGTGAGGCCACAGCAAAGAGCAGAATAATCCCTTCCTGGTGACTGTTCGAGTGTCAATTTTTGAAAGAAAAGCAATGCACACAGACAACGGGATAAAGGTGCAACTGAAATCTGTTTTGTAGTTCTTGATAGCTACCAGGAACAGAATACTAAGAAAACAGTCTTTATGGCTTCTTTTATCCTTTGCAATTATTAAAGAAAAAAAAAAAAAAAAGGGAAAAAAAAAAAAAAAAAAAAAAAAAAGAAAGAAAGAGAGAAAGAGAGAGAGTGAGAAAGACAGAAGGGAAAAACCCCACAAGTTAATTTAACAGAGCAGTCGCCAGTCAGCTCCCCAGGCATAAACAGGCAGCCGAGGCGCTGTGCGTGGGCTGACTTCAACGCTGGATGCCGAGCAGCGCTTGGCACAGGTGAGCGGGGCTTTCATCGCAGTCCCAAATTAACATCGCTAATGCCGTGCCGTCCGCGGCCGAAGGAGCAGCCCCGGGCGGGGCTCAGGGCTCGGCGCCCGGCCCGCCGCCCCCACGCCCGGCCACGCCCCGACCGAACAAAGGCGGCGGTGGCGGCGGGGCCGCTCCGCGCAGCGCGACCACTGCGAGGGCGAGCCCGCACCGACCCGGGCCCGGCCGCGTTGGGAGGGCCCCGCACCCCGGCCCCCACGCTCGGCCTGGCCCCGCTCGGCGGCGTGTCGGGAGGAAGCGCCGGCTGCGCGGCCGCCGGCCCCTCGGCTCGCCCGCCCCCCGTCTCCTCCCCTTCACGGCCGATCCTCCGCCCCCTCCTCCTCCTGCTGGCGGCGGCGGCGGCTTTCTCGGCCCGGCTCTCCGCTCTTCCCCGCGGCTTCGCCTCGCTCTTCAGCGGGAGGCTCCGCGCCGCGCCGGCGAAGACGGTAAGGGCGGCGGGGCGCGGCGCCGGGCCGAGCCGCGATTCGGGGTTCGGCGGGCGCGGTGGGGCCCTGGACTGAACGCCGCGCCGCCGCTCCGCAACCGCTCCCCCTCTCGCTGCGGACCCCCCGCGGCGGAGGGAGGGCGGGCGGGGAGCGGGCGGGGGTTCATCCCACCGGGCGCTGCGGTGCGTTGCGAGCCGCCCTGCCCGGTGGGGAGGGGGCGGACGGACCCGTCGGGTGGGCGCCTAGAGGAAGCGGAGCCGGTTCTGTGCCCGCTCCCTCGGGATCCGGCGGCGGAGCGGGCGAAGCGGTTTGAAATTCCTCGCTAATATCAAGGGACAACATATGGCTCGGGAGAAAGCAGCTGGGAGGACTGGCCGGTTAGCTGCTCCGAGTTATTTTTCCCGGGTCGGTGCGGAGCGTGAACTTCCTCCCCTGGACTCCCTTGCGCGGGGATGGGGCCGAGCACATGGTGTTGCTCTGCCTCTGACACCGCGCTGCCCGAGCGGGACGGCTGGCGGCTCCCGGTGCTGAGCTGAGCCGCGGGGAAGGCTTGTCCGGAGGTAACTGGCTTGTACGGCCCGTACTCCTCCTGCGCTTACCCAGTGGTGCATCTTTCCCAGGGCAAGGAGCGAAGCTGTTTCCTATGGTCCAACGCGTATGACAACGTATATAATAGAGGAGGTTAAAACTTTCAAAAATCTTGCGTGGGCACATCTACGTCTTCCGTGCCATCACGGTGTTAATTCACTTAGACCCGAGTTGGGGGGATTTGTATGCTGATCCGTGCTTGTGTTTCAAATCTACAGTTATTGTGTTCAGATACTTACGGGTGGAACATCCTTTATGCTTAAAATGACAATGCTATTGTGTTTTTAAGCAGGAGGATGACTTTTATCTGTAGGGTGGAACTTTTATCTTTAGTGTATACCTCTTATCACATGGCTGTAGTGCTCTGTTTTTTAAATCTACTGATCTGCTGAGTGGCTTTGCAGAGGTCACTTTGCAATTTGACTTCACTCCCCTGTGAAATGTGTCTCTTGATTAAATATGGTTCTGGGTTAGAGCTAGTGCTTTCATTTCACATCCATATTTATGTACCATAGGAGCCATACTTTATAGGGCAGCTTGTTGTTGGCTCTGCCCATAGAGCCTGCTGGTTCTTTGGTGCATGGCATGCTGTGGGCGTACAGTGTGCCTTGTGTCTCACGTTGTGTCCTACTTGTTTTAAAAAGTTTGGAGCTCTGAAAAGGTCAGTGTAATCCATACCACCCCAGCACGCAACTGGCTTAGAATTAACAAAACCTTTCTGAGCACTTCTGGAGCAAAAAAACGGCACCCTATTCACTGGGGTGGGATGAAGAGGTTTTTGAAAACTGTGCTTCTCTGTTGTGAGAGTGGGCAAGTGCTCGGGTTTTGCAAAGCTTCAGTGTGAGCTGGTGAGACCATTTCTGGTGATGCAGGCTGAGAGAGATGAAGGATCGCTGGTAGTCTCTGTGGGGATGATGGCAGTTGTTTGCCATGGTGTGCTTTGGTCAGAGCTGTATGCTGGCTTCGACAGGCATCCCATTGTAAAGGATCGTAATCATTTGATATTTCATGATGCAGTATTGAATCTGTGGGTACAACCTCTGTGGGCAGGAAGTAACAAGCAGGTGTCCGTGCTCTCTTTACAGCTCTGTAGTGTAAGTATACCAGGAATGTACTTTTTGGGTGATTTATTGCCTTGATGGAGCTGATAGCCCTGAGCTGCCCTTGTGCCAGGACATTTCTGCAGATAATGAGAGAAATCGTGTCATGAGTCAAAGCTAAGAGGGGAATGGTGTTTTCCAGGCACATACAGAACTCATCTGCTGTCACTTTGCTGGAGTGGCTCTTACCATATCCTGCTGCAGCTCATCTGAGCGCTCTCTCCCTGCACCTTGGGGCTGATGGCATTTCAGGTAGTTCCTGGAGGGGCTCTGTACAAGTGTGGTTTTACAGTGGGCGTGATGTTGCTTTCTACTTTACTTTATAGTTTACATTATACTCCAAAACCAGGAGGAGTGAATTTCATTTAATGAGGCAAAAGTGCGTGAAGTTATGAAACATGGCTCTATAATTATGTTTTGGTTGCTCAGAGCTACAGAACCTATTTGAGATATGGTGCTAACATGAAAAAGCGTAGTGTACAAAAGTCTTCCTTTTTGAAGTATGCTTCTAAAAGTGGTCATGTATTTCAGCATACTGATTGATATTCAGTCTAATTACCATGGGATATCTTTTGCCCATTAACTGTAGAGGAATGGGCAGTGAACTTATATATATACCCTTATATATACACCCTGTCCAGAGCTGGATGTCATGTCTTTGAGCTTTTGTTCTGGAATGTTTCTGGTCTACCCATGGCTGACACTGGATCTGGCTTTCCATCACTAGATTATAGCTCTGTTCCACAAGGTGCATGTGTTGATTAGCCACAAATTAATCATTGTGAATTAAAATGAGGGATTAATGTGTCAGCTGCAAACTGCTTTTATTTCAGAAGGTCAAGTTCTGAGAAGTTAGAGAAACTAGTTTGTGAAGTCCACTAAGCTAAAGACCTACAGGTCTACAGATTTGGAGGGGAAAAAAATATGTTGGATTGCATTAAATGAAGGGTACAACATCTGCTCAGAACCTGCATTTTAAGCAGAAGGAAAAGTTTTCCAAGGAGTCTGCGGACCTTGCTGCAAGACTAAGTGTCCTGAAAAAGATACCACAGGCTACCAGAAAACTTCTAAGAACTGAAGTGAAAGAGGAGACTTACTGTCAGTGGGCTGAAACTGCAGGAGTAACATGTATTTCTGAATGCCAGATTGTGAAGAAATTTAACATGAACAGAGATTTTTTTTTTTTTTTTTTAAAGGTGGGGGGAAGAGAAGTTGGGTTTGATACTGTGAGGACCAGTTTGTAGTTAAGGATGTGACTTTAACAACTCCAAAATTAGGCATTTATGGTCAGTTTCTATAGAAATGAGGATTTGAATATGGGAGAAAGACAGCATGACAAATAAATAAAAATAAATGCTGTCAAGCAAAGGAAAGCAAAGAGTCTTTGCTGTAGGACTCTGAAAGGGTTGGCATAGAATGTTGGAGCCAGGTAAAAAAAGCTTGTTGTCTGTCAAATTGGATGTAGTGATTGTGATAGCAGTAAAGCAAAATAATTACACTTGTGTTAATTTTCTAAGGAAAGAAGAATGAGATCTATTCACACTTCTTGCTCTGGTCTTGATAATATTCAGGGATTTAGAACAAATTTAGAATGGAAAAAGTAATTAAATACACAAAGATAAGTGGAAAACAGGATAAGATGCATCGTGGATTTGCTACAATTAGGTCATGGGAGACTAAAGATGTATTATTACTGGATGAATACTGAATGTTGTAGACAAAAGGAGCAGAAGACTTCAGTGGTGCTACAGTGAAAATAGCTAGATTGAAAATACGAGGACTGGTTAAAAAAGTGGTTAAGTTTAAGGAGACACCAAAAAAGAAATTGTGACTCTGGCTGCATGAATGGAGTTGCTGGTTTGGGGTAGGTATTGCTGGGGAGCTGGTCGTCTTTCCTTCATATCAGCTAAGATTAATCTGTGCAAAGGGTGATTGCTGATGAGGTGAAGTCAGGGAGCACAGTCAGCATTGAGGAAGGTTGGATTGTTGCACAGGGAGTCTTGAATGTCCATGATGACCGAAGTGGTATGGATGAGAGAAGTTAAATAGCTCTGAAAGTGAGATTATCTGCTGAGTGATTATTAGCAGCGCATCTGCTATCAGCTGGGAGGTCATCCTTTAAAATAGGTCTGCAGGGGAAGGCCTACATGCTGTACTCAAACAGGGATGACTGATGCTGGACACAAAAGGAAATGCAGTGGTCACCAAGATCTCTTCAGCAGAGATAGGCAAGTTATTATACAAGGCATTGGGAGATTTCATGTCAAATGTTGCACACAGTTCTGGTTACTTGTGTACAGAGAATATAAAATTCCAGTAGAACGTCTAGAGGATCATCCAGGCTACAAAGATGGTGGGTGCAAACAGTCTGGATTTAGATGGAGACTAAAACTGAAGCTGTGTTGGCTTTTATCTCTTAGTTAGGGCAGACAGGAAGGTAGCAGCTGCTAAGAAATTCCCTGGGGCAGATTCTTAGGGAAGAGGAAAGGTCATAAACTGAAGTTCATCTGTAATTGTTGATTAAAAGCTTGTTGTACAGGAGGATGACTGGATGTCTTGTTGAATGAATGTTAGAAAATATGTATGTTGAAAATTGAAATGAGTATCCAGACTCTGATGGCTGGGAAAATCTCCCGCCTGTTGGTCTATTAAATCAGTTTATGTTTGAAGTTTGCGTGTGACTGCTGAGGAACCTGCTTGAGTAACTCAAGATACCTTAAGTTTGTTGCTTCAATCCTTGATGTAAATCAACAGAAATAGAAAATGCTTCCATGAAGGAACATCATGAGCAGATAATTTTTTTTTTTTAATTTTTTGAGGATGACTGTAGTCCAGTCACATGATGGCGAATGGAATTTTTAGCAAGTAAAATTCTTGTCAATGCCATTAGTAGCTGCTGCTTTTTTTTTTTTTTTAGTGCATAATGGAATCAAGTATAAATCATAAAATATTAAAGATGACCACAAATTAATATGCATGGGATAGAAAACAGAAGAGCAGTCTGGAGGTCAGGATGGCTGATGAACACATAAGTAAGGACCACGCTGTCCTGTTGAGTGGGTGTTTACATCCATCCTCTGTGCTGAGCCACACAGAGCCCAAGGAGGCCCGGTCACTTCACTTCACCCTGAAGCATGAGGCATGGCAGCTCACACACTTTGTTCAGGGTTTCCCTTCAGCTGAAGGCTTGTCTGGTAAGAACAGAGGGCGTGTGCCTCATGGAAAGCTTAATGATGGCGTATGTGATTTGATGGCCCCACTGTGTTGACTTTGATCTCCTCTATAGCATTGGGGCCTGCCCATTTGTATGCT